AGTGACCAGGAATAATGGTCACAAGCTGGCAGAGGGTAGATTTAGGCTAGATATCAGGAGGCACTACTTCACGTTCAGGGCGGCTAGGATCTGGAACCAACTTCCAAGAGAAGTGGTGCTGGCTCCTACCCTGGGGGTCTTTAAGAGGAGGTTAGATGAACACCTTGATGCGGTCATTTGATCCCAGTAATCTTTCCTGCCATGGCAGGGGGTCAGACTAGATGATCTACTCAGGTCGCTTCCGACCCTAGAAACTATGAAACTATGTTATAAATTCCTACATGAGATAAAGTAGTGTGTGTTTTCTTGTTAACAATATATATTTTTGCATCGTTAATAGGCAAAATGTAAAAATGGGAATTCCTCTCATTCAAGTCTCATATTGTAAATCCTACAATTTCTTGTTAAATTAGTATGCAGTGGCTTTTATTTATTTATTTATTTGTTTCCTTTGTAGCTCTGATGGAGAAAATGGTGCAGATGAAAGAAAGAAGGCTGGAAAATCACCCAACATGCTGCTGCACATCCCAGCCAGTGAGGCAGAATATTTTGATGACCAGAAAAAAATTGGTGTTGCTAGGTAAAGTCAGAAAACTGACAAATTTAGCAACAATAAAAATTGGAAAGACCCTCCCAAGAAATTAGTGAGAAATGGAATTATATATTAAGGTCCTGATTGTATCCTGTTGTCCCTCTGTTTCTGCTTTGTTGTAGAGACAAGATTCAATGACAAATCCCAATAGGTGTAAATATCTTATGTTTTGTCTTTTAGAAGCCCAAAAAATGTGGCATTGGGAGAATATTAAACACATGCTATGCTAATCCTAAAATCCCAGTCAGAGACCTCAGTGACCAGATCATAAATCTGGAATACAAGTCTAATAGCAGATCTGTTAGATGATCAATCCAACAACCACCCTAGAATCTCAGGCTTGCTCATATAGCAGCATGCACACAACTTTTGCCTTCATTTACATTTCCTCAAGAATTTTTACCAATGAAGCAATAATGCTTGTTGTAGACTGCATATTTCTCTGTCATAATGAATGTTTTCCTGATAGCCCTTGTGGAGTGTATTTATTGTGAGACCAAAGTGTCCCACTCGGGTGGAGGAATCTAGTCTCCTGCTACCACAGGTAACAATGTTACCTGCCACTTTTTTGCTTTCTTCTACTTTTTTTCAAGCAAAACATTTCATTTGCAGCCAGTTTATACCCAGTTATTCTTGCTGCAGCATTGTCCTTTTTATATTAAATAGTGGGGTGTTTTTCCTTTTCCCTATTTTTACCCCCAACATGTATTTTGAGAGAGGAATCTCATCTTCTTGCAACCTTTATTTTGCTAGTATAAATAAAGCAAGCTCTCCTCTCATCTTGTATGATACGTTTTCCATTCTCTTGATCATCCTGATAGATCTTTTCTGCACCTGTTCTGGTCTGAATTTCTTTCTTAAGCATGGGTGGCCAGAACTATAAATGGTAGCCCACATGGAGTCTTGCCAATGTTCTGTACAGTGAGATATAGGGCCCTTCCCTATATCTGCTAAAATGTCTCAGCAGATATAGTAAAGACCCATATTTGCCTTTTTTATTAGCCTCCTCAAATAGGTGCATTAATCAGAGGATGAATATATCGACACATTTCTTCCATCGATTACTTCCAAACGAGGTCTCAGTTCACAGCGGAGATTCTCATTTAATCTCCAAGTGCATGACTCTGCATTTTATACTATGAAATTCTCCTATGCTGCCTGAGCCTAGCAGTAAATATTTCAAATGATATCTGAAAGAAACGCAGTAAACCTTTCCTTGAGCTAACCAGAGGGCCTGCCTCCTGGGTTTTATACAAAATATACGAGACTCACGGTAGCTTATAGACTTCAAGCAACAAATATTTGTTCCAGCTTTTGAAAAGATGTTTTTTCATTGCTCTGAGACTAGGTACATTTTAAAACCTGAAGTTTGATGCCCCCTCATCCAGTTTTATTGAGGGTTACAAATGGAACAATGAGTTATTGAAAGATGAATGTGTGTCAGAGACTGGAAGTATACATCCTGTTGGTAACAAGACTAATTAAATGAAATGAAGGCTGCATACACGCATTCAAATGAACTGGGAAAATTCTCCTGGGTTTCTTTTCCTGGTAGAAAAGCTTATCCACAGATGCCTGAACAGACATTTGAACAGCAGAGTTCGCATTGCTGAAGCTGCATAGCCAGGGGACCCCTAAGTACATAACTCTGTGCTCTACAGACTCCCTCAGTCTGCCTAGATGTCATAGATTTCATAGACATTAGGGCTGGAAGGGACCTCGGAAAATCATCGAGTCCAGCCCCCCGCCCAAAGGGCAGGAAGTCATCTGG